ATTTTATGCTTAATTAAGCAAGCGCGATTTAAGCCGATTTAATCGACGCGCCGCGACCATCCCGTCCCGGTGTCCGTTCGTCGCTTTCAAATAAATTAATTCGCGATCTAAGTCTAAACGGTCGCGTAAGCCGCGCGGTCCCCTCATTTGCATATCGATCGAGAGTTGTCCCATAAGTCACTGCAAATCGTTCGTTATAAATCGCCGCACAAAACTGGCCGGCGCGGCGGCTAGGGAATACCTGCCCGCTCCTGTAATCCTCTTTCTGCCAGTTTCTGCAGTATGCACCGTTGCGTTGCTTGAAAAGTCCGCGAAACTTTTATTTTCTTCCATCCCATTTTCGACGGGTCGGATTACGTCATTAATTAATCGTTATTAACGTACAAGATACGATGTCATATTTTTGCCACGATGAGTAACTGTGTTTCATTCCTAAGAAAATTAGAGAGGGAGAGAGAGAGAAAGAGTCGCGGCGATATTTATATCTCATTCGTGAGCGGCATGACGTGTGCCGGGACATTTCTCGCGATGCGTTCGCCAATTTCGCATGGCGGAAGTACCGCAAATGAAACACTTGTTTAAGAGTAATTGGATCTAAGTAATTTCTGGGAAGTTGTTTTGAGAGAACATATTATGAAATACTTAATATGAGTAGACTTTGTACGATAATGTTCTTTTCCGCATATCGTTATAATGTAAAATTACATATCATATAAGTGAAACACGATATTTAACAGAGTATATTGCTCTCTGTATGTTAAATACGTAAAAGAGGAACTATAGATTACCATGACAGGAATAGAATGAATAAGTTGTCTATCACTAATCAGCCAATATAACGACAAATCATCATTATCGCATTCGATAATGACTTTATTATCATGCAAGCAAGACGCCCTGATGTCTCGCAAGAGAGTTCCAATTCGTCAAATATTTATCTAACAAATTTCGCGATGGAATGTTGGCACTTCGGACGCGTACAATTACTTCTTTTCTCTCGGAATCATGCCAAAGAGAAATAAAAATTACTGGCATTGATTGAGATCGTGATGATGAAACGAAGATCCGTAATTATTTTCAACGTGCAGTATGTTGTTAAAAATGTGAGTAATAATTTTGTTAAAATCAAATAATGGAAATTATCGAGATAAAATATAAATTTAAAGATATTTCGGAATATATTAATTAACTAAAAAGTGTGAAGAAAAATGTTTTTATTAAGATATAATATAAATAAAAACTATTTTTGTATTTATGTATAAAAAAAACAATTTTGTTTTGACGACAAATACACTTGGTAAATTATTTAAAAAATTGAAATTAATGTAATAAACTTTAAATGCTGTTCTTGAGCCTCACACAAGCAAGCTTATAAGATTTGAACTATAGTTCATGTGAAGTCTGAAGACTGAAGTCACTGTTACGTTTATCTCGCCATGATATGAAATATTCTTATCAGTCTTATATACTAAACAAATAACAAATGTATCAGTTCATATGATCGGCACACCAGGTACATACCCTCTGAGAATAAATTCACTGTCATCAGCGAGTCCCGTCATCGCCTATCTGTCTCTCATTTTCTCAAAAGTCTAATTCTCATGTACACGCGCCTCACTATTCACCACATTGATGTCTGTCTTTCCTAAACTTTCCGGTATCGCGTTGCTTGATTATGGATTTATTAAAAATTCTTCTTAAAGACTCTTTTAAACATTCAGATTTTTCAGCTAATTTTATTTAAAAATTATATACTGCGATTGTGTTTTACGATTATTTTCACGAATTATATCGCTCAAACTTTCTTTTCGGCTTATTGTAATCCTAACTTTCTTGTCCTCGGTATCTTCACCTCAGGATAATACGGAAGTACGTATATATACCTTTTCTGAGAAACTCTTAAAATATTTTACGTGCTTTCAAAGTTCTCCTCAACAATAACCCTTGAGAGCGTCTTCGAGATTCTTCTTGAGACTCTCTCAGGATTTCTTTTCAAGCTCTCTTCGATGCTCTTCAAAACGTTCTGTGTGTTCGGGGTTTTCCTCACGGTTCTCTTCAAGGCCGTTACACGAATCACGAGACAGACGTTCGCGCACGGGCGTGGCGGATGCCAAAAAATTTCACCGGGAACTGAAGCGACCACGGGAGGAGCAAGAGGTGAGGGAGGAGCAGGGGCAAAAGATCAGTGATGCACAGGCGAGGAACACGATGCCACCTTGGTGAAAGCCACCGCGATGAAGAGGCTTCCTTGCCGCACCGAGTGTCGCTCCCGCCAAGCGGAAGATTATCTAAATAGACTCCGCGGGCCAAAGAGGGAAGGAGCAGAAGAGGAGACGAGGACGGCGGCTTAGGAGGAGAAGAGGACCCACAACGAGTTGGTATTTATACGTCGTGCCTTTGGAGAGCCAGTGGCCGCGACCAGGAACATCCCTCTTCGTGTCCGCGGACGAAACGCACCGGATGCCATTGATTCTCCTCAGCCCCTCAGCCGTCGATTGGAATTCTCGGGGCGCGCGCGACAGGAATTAACAGCCTCATCGGCAATAAGATCTGAGAGACAGAAGGAGAGGGGAGAGAGAGAGAGAGAGAGGGGAGAGAAACGCGGGTTAATCGCACCGAGCAAAACCGAGGACCTTTATTTACTGTTCGGTTACATCGTTTCGCTGTGCATTTCTTGGGTGGTAGAGATTACTGCGAGATCTAATCTGAGTTTCGTCTTCGGATTTATTTCACCGTTCATAGCAACGCAGTTGTAACTTTTAATAAGTAATTATGTATAGTATCTTTAATTATGTACGGCAAGCTCTTACCGCATTTTCTAACAACAATGTGTGTGATTAAGAAATGAGTCTCTTATTTTACCAGGGGCTTCATGAATATTATTTGCTTTTACAATATTTTCCAACATTAAAGTTTAAGTACAATTGTAATTAACAATCATTTTTAAAAAATTGTCTGTTAAAATAAAATTTGAATATGGTGGTGAAGCAAAATATTAACTTGAGGCTTATATATTGCAAAAATTCTTAGATTTGTACGACTACTTATAAATAAAAAATTATTAATGTTTCAACATTTTAATAAAAAAAATTTTTAAGATAATTTAATTCTGCGTTTAATTACTAAATCTTATATTTTATATATAATTAATTATTAAAGTTGTTGAAGTTAGCTTGAAACTCAAAGTAATTTATTTTCCTATTTAATTGCCAGTATTAATAATAAAAATTTATTTTATATAATTGTAATATAAAGTACAAGATTTATGATTGTTTCAATTATCGGATTTGAGAGACGAGAGAAGATTGCAATGGGGGAAATCTGAGTAGCACACATTCGCAGCTGTTTTAATACAAGTGTGGATATCAGGTGCTAAACCTGATGATTGCCGCGTTTGTGCGCGAAATTCCTTAGACGCTTACGTAACCACGAATACAATAAACTTAGTAAAAAAAAAATAAAATAATAAAACTTGTGCCATTTGTATAATCAACTGTAAGGAGCAGCAAACCACGCGGTGGAATTTCTTCTTGTTTGTCCTCCCGTTCCTTAAGACGATTCGTGTTTCACTCTCGATAGCATCGTAAACTTCAATAATTAATTTGAGAAAAAAGAACAAATATTCGATAAGCGTGGCAAATATTAGAAATTCCGCAGAATATGTCGTTTTTCTGAATCAACTTAATAATCCATATGTCAATCTTTTAAAATTAGAAAAAATCAAGATATAAAAAATACATTGTTAATTTATCCGACAGCTTTTGTTAAGAATAAATTCTTGAAGTAAAAGAAAATACGTAAAAAATATCGTCGTTGAATACAAACAAATAATTTTTAGTAAATATAATTGGTTAATAGTAAATAAAAATTTGTTCCATACTGGATGGAACTGGACACCTTGGGAAGGAAAGAATGGAAAAATATCGTAGATCGCGGATATGAAAACAATGGAGAGGGTCGCGCCGACATTTATGAATATAACGTTCGGTCGTCCCGTGGCGTTGTTCGAGCGGAAAACATCGCGATTTTTTGTCGATCGGTGAAAGTTCAGCGGTGATCCCAGGCAATCCCGGAAGCCGCGCTCCTCCACTCGTCGCAACGTGGAAAGAATCGGTATTGTGCATCGCACGCGCTCACGCTCACGGACGAATGCGTGCAGCCGCCTCCGGTACAGGCCGTTTCAGCGCGGGCCGTTGAACCGAAACGGTCAACCGGAACGACGTCCGATACTTTTTCCTTCTTCAATAACGGGCGATCCGCCGCGCGCGGATACTAATCGAGCGAAAATCAAGGACGCGCCGGCGAACGTCGAGCGCGTCGCGACCCGCCGCGCTCGATTTCAGGGCCAAGAAAGCGTGCATTGCATTGCAAGGGCAAGGGACTCGACGCATTCAAAGAAGCGAATTTTTACAGATTGCTCGTAGTAATGAATTTTAATAATAATCTCCCGTTTCACCCTCGAATTTTCAGTCGGAAAATATAAATATCTAAAGCGAGAACTTATAGAGTATCTTCATTTTTGAGAGGCCCATGTCTAAAAATTATATGCTAAATGTAATCTAAAAAAGAAAGGAAGTAAGAGATTCCAAAATATGTTTAAAATAAAAATTGCATTTGATGTAAGATTAAAATTATTGCCATGTACATTTAGCGCTAAATATAAAATAAGATTTTTGATATGAAATGTTAATCTAACAATGGAAAAACTCGCTTAATTGTAGGATGCTGGCGTCTCAGGATTCATAGAAATCTAGAATCTTGGTATCCCAAGATTGTCGAATACAAAGATGGCATCATCCCTTAAACCTCTCACGTTTCACTCGGTATAAAGTTCTCGGCTTGTTTCCGAATTCTCGGCGTCTAATCCACGTAACATCTATAAAGTTTTAGAATTATCGCGTTCTGTGATCTTCGAGCCGTACCTTGTGTCCGACATTCACACATTCCGACACTACAACGCAAGGTTCTTATACGCCGTTGTAGATTAATAGCGGACTTACTTCTGCGGACGATCGAAAATACTTTCGCCGATGCCCTCCGCGCGATTCCACCTGAGAAAGTCAACGATCGCTGGGTGACAACGTGCAGATCCATGATCAGAAATCCGTCAATGGTTGATATATCGCCAGCAACCGAGTACATGCAGACTCGGGAGATTTTCGTCGATGCGCCCGCGCGTTTACCGCGAGTGCACGCGCACTCACCGCGACGTTCGCGTCGGTCGCTCGGGAAAATCAGCGATCTCGATCACCAAGGAGAGATCCAGTCAAATCGCCGAGTCGATCTTAGTCAACCGCGCGCACTGGCACACATTAGCACAACGTAGCCGTTCTACAAATCTAGATACTTCACTTCCTCCCGATTCTGCCTTTGGACCGTTTCTTTCCTCCAGGGTTTATCACCTGATCGCGTTGTCACCTATTACCGAGAGAAAATCCATGAATTACGATCGCAATTTTTATTTTTTTACTTTATAGATGCAACTTAATGGAACGTTAAGTCTGCAGAGACTGGCCAGATCTGAATTGTACTGTAAGTTTAATTTGCGGGGACTTTGCGTGTGCCTCCAAGTCAAGAAAGAAACGACGCTTCGCGTGAATTATGACTATGATTCACATATCGGAGTAATCTCTTTTCGCTCCGCGATATCGAGAAACGGTTTCGCACGATACAAATCGCACAATGTACTTTCCCACTTTATTTCAATCCTGTCGATGGACTCCGATTCTACTCTCGTACGTTTTCACTCGCAATCATCTGAAAGAGTAATCACTTAACACTCAAAGTCGGTAAACTAAGAAATTTTCTATTGACCAACATTTTTGTGTCACTCGTTTTTTACCTGCTCTCAATGTGCAAAATTTTATTTAAAATTTTATCCACTTTAAAATTTAACACAATTTTTGGCTTCCAACAAAGAAGAAAAAAATCGATGCACGTAAAATTCACAATAAAGTTAAACTCCTAATTAGCGCGATAAAACTCCGATTCGTGCATGCAATTTTTCAAAAATCCTTTCGATCGCTGTCGAGCTGGATGCTTATCCACAAGGACTCACAGGTTTCACAGATTCCTCCGTCCTTCTCTCCCCGAGGAGAAGACGAGGGCCGCGCACAAAAGAAACGCACTCTCGAAATTGGCTCCGGCCTCGATCAGCGTGGATCGGTCCCGGCGGCAGACTCGCGACGCGCGCGCGCGAGGACGCGTCGCAGGCGATCGCGGGCGATCTACGGGATCGCGAACGTTGGGACCGCTCGGCGGCCTCGGCGCGGCTCTCGAGCGTGTATGCGTAATCGCGGCGATATAAGGTGGCCGCGCGATGCGGTTTCACGGATGCAGGGAGAAGGGGGTTACATCAGAGAGAATACGAAGGAGTCCGCTCTCGCGGCTCGACTCGGTTTGTCGTTCACGATGACGACGACGACGACGGCAACGACGATGACACGACGCGCGAGATCGCGCCGTGCCGAGGCACCGCTTCGACTCCGCTTCGTTTCGCGAGCGCCGGGACCGACGAATGGCCGTCCGGGACCAGCTGGGTACCGCGATGTAGCTGGCCCGACTTGACGCGAGAGACCATGGCGCGTATGCACGAGGCAAGGCGGATCCGACAGTACAAACCGGCACGAAGGAACGGCTTCGACGGCGCGGAGCGCGAGCGAGAGGGGCCCGACGGGGCCTAATCTGACCGGAGGGGCTCCTATGCCCCCTTCGCGCTAACTCTCCCACGGCGAAAGGTGGTCGCCGACCGCGCGAGATGCTGCGGTCGGCCGAGATTTTCCTTGCCGACCATTCAGCATTAACAATAATACTTTTCTTATGTCATAAAAGCTTTACATGAGTTTTTTTTATGTACCGATAGCTTCAGATATAAATTGTATTAAATTGCGAATACAATTTATATAAATATAACATTATATTCTTTACGAAAAAGCTTATCAAATTTTAATTACGTAAAAAACTATGATTTTCTCTCCTTTGGATCTTTATTTCTAATACTTTATTTTGTAAGAGTTTCTTTTTGAATTTATTTTAAAGTCTTGGTATTACTGAGAAATGTATTACGACTGTGCGTCTATAGGCCCCTTAGTTGAGGTTCTTATTTCGCTTGGGCGGGAGAGATCTCAGATTCAAACAACGCATCGCGTGGCTGCTCCCGCGCCACGCCGACTAAATATTTCACGGAATATATTAAGATATTAGTCACGTAACTCTGGTGGATCCGCTACTATTAGCTTTCGAAGTAAAGTGATTTCCACGCGATCTTAAGGCACGTGATTGGTGCCCAAAACATGCGATATTTCAGTCTTGATACTAACATCCCACATTTTCTTTTAACAATAACAGTTGATTCACTAAGATAATTATAGGCTTTCTATAATTTCTAGAGTATCATTTTTCAAACGTTTTTGCATTACTCTCTCCAAACATAATTCCAAAAAATAGATACATAAAAAATAAATTTCTAAAGCATTATATTTCAAACATTTTCACGTTACTCCAAACATAATTCTGAAAAAATGGATACATAAAAAAATCAATTATGTAAAAAATTAAAGTAGAAGATAATTATAATAACGTTTAATAAGAAATAAATTATAATAAATTAATTTTCTATTGTCTTTCAATATTCTCATTTCTTAAACTTTGCAATGTTTTTCATTATATATTGTAAAAATACCTTAAAGGAACTAACTTGAAGCAATAAATTTAAGCCTTGCAAACAAGGTTGTAGTCTCCAGATACGAATCTTATTCTGTTATCAATTCTTCGACTCATTGTCAGACTACGTATCTATCTGGCGTCATACCGTCGTTGGCTGAACGTGCGAGGGGTCGTGTTTCCATTCGCAGATAATTCACGAGAGAGTTCACGTTCAGAAATAGTTTGAAAGAAAAGAAACCTTTTTCTTCGCTTCTTATTTTACAGACAAATTAACATTTGTATTAACATATATGTACTTTTACACGCTTAATGATTCTTTCATGATTAAATCGAGACTGTTCGACATGATTTATTGTTAAATTATTGAAGTTAACACAAACATGGCATATATCTCAACCTCTCTGTTTCTCTCTTCTCTCTTCTCTCTCTCTCTCTCTCTCTCTCTCTCTCTCTCTCTCTCTGTTTCTCTGTTTCTCCCCTTGATGCTGATACTTCGTTCAACTTGAGTGACTCTAGTACTCCGAGTACGTCAAGTTCACTCGAGCAGTTACGAGCACCGAAGGAATTACATCAAATTCGGTTCGGTAATCAAACAAATAGCGCATTCCTGTGTCAGATAATATAATGTGCCGCCGAAATATTTTCCGTTCCAGAAACCAGCTGATTGCAAAATTAAACAACCGCGACAGGCCGCGCGATAACAGTTTTATCACAAAGATAATAATTTTAAAGTCTGAACGCTCTCAACGATACAAACCCAACATCTAAATCAAACCTGTAGTAACTGCATTTATATGCACCACAATTTTATTCGCAATTTTAAATTAAGCACCTAAATATTATTATAAATATTATCCTAAAATTATTATTTAATAAATAATTGTCTTTAGTGTCTATATTCTTGTAATGTTTATGCACGGTTATATTGTTTACTGCAGAATGATCTGAAGAAACGTTAGCTAAAAGAGCTGCAAACTTTGATAAACAAGAATAAGCAATCGCACACGATACATATGTGCATACGCTCGAAATCATTTACGTTCATCGCCGCGGTAGAAGCGGCGCGACGGAATAGTTGCTGGGTTTACTGATTATTCCGATTTGCTCAATTTGACCGGGGCATGAGATGAGCCACGTGCCGGGTGTTGGTTGAAGATTCCGCAGCGTTGCCAGTCCACAGTTGTCTTCATTCCAACCATTGACACCGTTGAAGTACCTCTCGACTAGATGGCAACGTTGACATTGCCGCGCGAGCGTGCAGCTGGCATGATGCTCCGAGTCCGCCTAAATCGAGAGACAGTTTACAGTGGTCCAGCGGATGCTAAGGTAGCTTAGAGCTGCGCCGCGAGAGAGCCGATATGGTAGCGGGCGATCGTAGAAAATGGTACGGAAGAATGGAGAACGGAGGGATCTGTATCTATCCGCATATAACGCGCGCACATGCACATGTATTTATAGCTTCTTCACTAGTCGGCATCAGGAGAAGACTACGGGATCCGTCTCTTGCTCCGTGTTTGGGCGCCGCTGATACCTCGATAGCGGGATGGGAATTAAATTTGAAATTACCTGTCTGTGTCGATGGAGACGAATATTGATGAATGACACGCGCGCGCGGTTTCATTCGAAAGTTTGAGAGGGCAATGATCGACTTAGAACTTTGGATGTCTGGAGTAGAATGGAGTTTGGGACCCTACGACCATACAGTCAAAATAATTCATATTTTCTAAAAAAACTGTTTTCTATATTATTATCAAGGAGAAATGGTTGCATTAGTATAATAACAGTTTAATCGTATTCAATAAAATAATTTCATCATTATTACTATCCGATACGATCAGTTTCTCAATTCTGCATTACCCGTTCTGTCATATGTCGTTTCCGACTGGATATATCTTGCACCTTATAGTATTGCTAATCCCAATGACGTTAATCCTGCTTGTCGATGATCTACGGCGTCTTAGAGCACCGCTATCTCGACGAACGTCTGGATCCATTACGCCGTTCGTTGTTGCGCCGAATGACTGTGAGGATTTATAGACGCATGTAGGCACTGTCCTCCCCGGAGTGAATGGATTTTATCATTTCATAGAGCCCCGTGAAATTCCTCATGGCCGGCCGACAATGACGGCCAATCAACAAACCATTCTCGATCTCCGCGTACGTCGATTACAAAAGGAAACGTTCGAACGTGTCCGTCTAGAATTTTTAGTGACCCTCGCTTTTTTTTCTTCACGTCACTGTTCGTTTATTTTATTTCAATTGAGTTACATCGTCTTGAGTTACATCGTGAAAGCGTGAAACGCACGTAAAACGACATCAGGATATACGTGCGGGATTTCCCGCGTCGAGCTGTAGTTTTCTTCTCGACAATCGAATTATCATCGATTGATCTCAGCACGGTAGGTTTCTGTTTTCCTTTGCGGTGCACCAAAATGGTGACCCGCTGCGGAAACCGCGGTCAGGTAACACGAAACCGTTGCACTACATTTTCCGCGGGTTCGATGACGCAGACAGCTCGATAATAAATGTGACAACACAGCGAGTTTATCGGAAGATTATTATAAATAATAAAATTCATTCATTCCGGGGAGATATATTTGTAAACTATCGCAGTAAAAAAAATCAATTTGTTTCCTCTCTATTCAATTTTTATAAATATCTAAAGACTCAGAATTGCTATTTCCATCCATTTGCGGCAAAAGAAATTACTGAAATAGATCATACAATGTAAAAATCACGGAAATTACTGCCTCTTCAAGAGATTTTGCGATCTTTGAAGTACGCGGCGAATTATAAAGTAATGTCACGCTACTCTTCAAACGCGCGGCTTAATAGGAGATATAAATGTGACCATTTCTATTTCTATCCAGACTGACCTTGCACTGCGATATTAATAGATGGTAAATCGCTGTGCAAATACAGATAGCGTTGCTACATTGAGTTCGTCGCACCTGCTTGTTAGATAAATTGATAAATTCCAGCACTAATCTTTATAAGGATTCAATTACATTACATAAAACAGACATTGCATTCTTCTCACCGGATAATGCTCAAGCTTGTTGATAAAAGAAAAGTAATTTTTATACAGATACATATTAAATGTATTCTTAAACGTTTATTTAAATTTTCCAATTTTCTCGAAACTCTTCATGTACGTTTTTGAATAACACTATAAAATATATTGTGATCATATCTTAAAAGATAGGAATGTGAGACTATACGGTACATATTTTAAACCAAGCGCCGCAGACGGTATAGCGATTTCTGGTTACATTTGTTCATCAGCCGCACTGTGTCACTAACAGATGGATCGATTCAATTCGTTATTACGTTAATAAACTTATTAAGTTGACAAATTGATAAAGAACAAATAGATACATTCACTATTTATGAAAAATAAGACTCACTCAAATTTTTTAATGTACTTTACCAACAATATTCAAATTTGATATATTGTGGTTTTGTATAATAAAATAAATATTGATTTTATAAAAAAAAGAAAAGAACAAAAAACAGATAATTTGTTCAGAATAAAATCTCTTCTACAATAGAAGATTAATTATAAAATACAAATTTTTTGCAAATCAAAAGAGTTAAAATATGCAATAATAAATAACTTTAAATTTTATTAAGAATATTACTCAAAAATATTTTAAAATTTTTAAATCTTTCTTTAGTAAATGACTAATTGTAATATTTGCAACCATGGTGTGTTATGGTGCATGGCATCCTTAGCCAACTGTTCGGAGTTGGTGGATCGACGCGTTATACAAGCTTTACGAAAAGGGAACAGCCGGCATCGTGACCTGTTCGCAAAGTGGAGGGGGTTTCCAATGCTGACACGACGCCATTAACCGTACGTCCATCGACGCGTGTATGGCACTGTTTGTCAGTTCTGCTGTTATTCCGAGGCGATTCGAGCATTCGAATCTTGGTGACCGCGGTGGCAGTCGACATTGACAAAAGGAGTCCGATTGAAATCATTTTTCTCGCCCGCACCCCTGAGAATTCGTAAGTACGAGCGAGAGAGGAACGATTTTTGAAAACAACTTGGTGCTGGTGTTCGACATGAATCGACTGCATTGTCGCATCGTGTGCCGTGGCGATGAAGAACGCGCGATTGGTATCCGGAAATTTTAGCGTCAATATCGCGCCGGGCGAGAAGTGCCGTGTCTCGTTTAAAAATTGCAAATATGTATTAATTGTTTTGTACGCGTTTGACCATTTCACATGAGTAAAATCCAACATGCGTGAATTGATTGTTCCGCCTCTTGTAACATGAGTCTGCAACGCTATCAACTATCAGTGCATTGACGCTTCTTCGATATCAGTGTCTGTGGAAGTGTCGTAAACGTGAATGTTAACGCGATTATTCGGACGCAGAATTGATTTTGCGCATCAACATAATTTTATTTTAATCTCAATAAAGCTTCCACGAGCAATTCTGTCAATACGTATTTACGTTGGTAACTCTGATGCGCGTCGACGCCCAAGTTTTGCGACGATTGTTGAATAACGTCATAGTCGGCGAGACCACGCTTAAAGCGCGCTTTACGTTCTCTCCCATTCGAATTTTGATTTCAGTGTAAACAATGGCGATTGTGGAATCCTGTTGGTCGCCGTGCATCTGGTCGAACAGCGTTAAGACCGGTTGCAACGCTATAGCGTTTTACACAGTGGTGAGCATCACTTAATTGGCTAAGAAGTTCCATGCAATTAGAGGCAGAGTTAAAGTATATCTAATAGAATATAATTTCAACATTCTGAGGTTTGTTGTGCAAATATCACATAATCAATATTTATTTTCTTTCAGGCAATTAGTGTAGTGTTAATTACGCTAATATGCTATCAACTAGCTGGTGGCGATTCCACACAGATATACAATCCGTTATTTGAAGCTGATGTAAGGGGATGTAAGTATAATATTAATCATGTATAAATGAGTTTGTACATGGAAAAAATTAAGCTAAATTTAGTCGTAAAATATAGATAACTAATATTTTTTGCAGCAAGAGCTATATTTTTTGCAGCGAGAGCTACAGTTTAGCAATAGTAGCAAAACCTTTTGTTCTCGCTGCAAAAAATGTTACTCTCGTTGCAAAAAATGTTAGTTATCTATATGTTACGACTGTTTTAGCTATTGTAGCTAATCTTTTTATAGACTGAAATAGTGTTTCAAAAACGGATATGAATTTTAGAACGCTAACTTACGTATATTTCGTTCTTACAATTTTTAAAAATTTTCAAAACTATATTTATAAAATGTATTTATTTGTTCATATATATGACGTGAGAAATGTTTAAATATTAGTTATTACTTTAGCTAATCACACATTAAAATGCGATATTATAGTCAAAATTAAAAGAATCAACTTTTACTCAAGTTCTTTTAAATAAGAATACAAGTAGATTGATCATATACAAATACGAGTTTAAGCGGTCACAAGTATAACTCCCGCATCAATCAGAAATTAATGATCCGACATTTGCAAAATTAAATAAACAATATCTATATAATTAAGTAAAAATCTATTGACATTTTAAAAATCTATTGACATATGTATGTGACTACGATTTAGATCACTTTGCTTTAACAAAATTCGAGCTTTCTTTTTGTTTTATGTAAAGTTTTATGCTAATTCCTGAAGAATGCGAATAGCAAAAACGACGGAAAGTTTAAATAAAACTACAAAATCTTACAAACTTTTGCATTATCTAGAGAGGGTCATAAGTCATATAATTTTATTATCACGTTTTCACTAAGCTGGTGGGTGAGTGACTTCAGTTCTTTTTGTCAAGTTCTGACTGTCATTTCTTTTTAATCATATTATAAACTATAATCACTAGTCAAATTTTATTTTTCTCGTATAAGATAAAATTTTCTTTTTTTGTAACACTACTTTTAGATAACCCAATCTTGAACTATTCACCTATTTATATAATTTAAAATTGTTTTATTAACACTAGACCTACCAGAGCTGTTCAAATAACCGGTTTATAATATTTTATAATAATTACTCAATTTATAACGGTACATTGTTATGACTTTTATTGTAATGTGTAAATAATTAAATTGATCAATTTACTCTTTCCTTTCATTTCTTTCTTAAAAGAGATATATACCTGTATATTTAAATAACAGAAATTAATTGTCAGTGTTTCTAATGTTAATTAGTCTTATTAGTTCATAGGCTTATACTTTACTATTTTATAGATTCATAAGCTTTTAACTTTTAGGATATTTTTAGTATTCTATTAAAAAAAATGAGAGACGCCCGCAATTTTTAGCTATGCAAGTTGTCGGAGGCTTCCTCATCTTCTATCTGCTTCTGTTGGTCATATGCGCTTTGTTAATGGTTTACGGCATAAAGGAAGGCGTACGTGGATGGTTATTGCCATGGCTCGTTGGATGGTTCATCGTTTGCTTGTTCCAGTTAGTCTTCGGACTATGGCTTTTAGGCGGCTATTATATTTATGTGAGTTCCTTTTCTTTATTTTGGCAATGATTCTGTTATCGTTCGATAAAAATTCGCAATCATATCACTTATTTATGTTTTTACTTTAGTTGGACTCTGTATTCGCGACATTATGTAATTGGCTTTGGATGTCTTACAACGTAAGTGTATTTTTTTGTTTTTAGCATTTCCGTGTTATCTAAGCTTTCTGGTCTTCATATCTCCCTGTTTTTTTTTTACAGATATACTGCTGGCTGGTTGTTTTGTCAATGTACAGAATATTTGCGAAGCTGCAGTCTCCGAACATAGAACTTTTGTGGCCTTGAAGAAAAGCGCAATGTACGATACAGCAATACGTATACACCTATTGCCACCAAAGTAAGAAAGAATCTCTATTTCCATTTACTCGTAAACTCGACGTAAGAACGCGTGAACTTGTTAATAATAACGTAAAATTCTCCAATCGTTTTAATATATACTTTCGAAATGTTTCAACGGGTGTCTAAGAAAGCGAAATTCGCCTTTTCATCGATGTATAGATATTTTTACAATTGAGCTTAAAGACTTTTATGACATGTACTTTTAATACAATATGCATTCGACCATATTTGTCTTTAATAACGTTTAACTTTTCTAAAAATCTCAGAGGAGATTTTGGACCGCGTCAAACAAATCCCAATTATAGTTTTGTATTTTTTTATATTTATATAACATTCAATTATAACATTGGTCACGTCGTAGCGCATTTCTACTTAAGTTTCAATAATATACAACTATAGTCGATGAGAAGGTACGATATTCTGTTCATAATAAGAGACTAAGAGAGGCCTTTTAAAATATCCGTCCGAATAATCATCATAATAAGCTTAGAATCTCGTTGAATAAACAAATCAAAATAGTAATGATAGCATCAGGTTAGTTGAAAATTCATGTTAGGTCTTTTTACATGACCGTTTTACACGTTGTTCTGAGTATGTTGAGATATTATACATTTTTTTCTACAAACTATTTTTTCTACAGCATTAGTACAATAAAAAAATATATAAATTACTCGATATAGAAATAAGCATCTATTTATATTATACAAACAATTTATATTAAGAATAAATAAATATTCCATTATTACTCTTTTATTATAAATGTAATTATTTACGTTATTTTTCTATTCTCCCTTCCTGGTATACAAAAAGCCTTATTTATACGACATAAAATAATACTTAAAGAATCTTTAATTACAAATATAATATATGTTTTTTACTGGAAAAAATATTTGTAAAAAAGGACAACCAACAACTTTTATGCTAACAGTTCTCATATTTCTTATGCTGTACGACAGTAGATGGCATGACGATTCACTTTATTCGAGCAAAGAAAATTTTATCTACAAATGGTATTCTCACAGATATTACAGATATTAAAAGGTAAATTTTATAACAAGAAAATTCTTATAATTTTGTAACACTTCATATAATAACAGATATAAATATTATATTTTTACATCACGTGTCTCATGATAACTTGTCATTATTTAATATTTCTATTGTTTTACAAAAAGATTACGAGTCGTTGGCTTATTTTAACATTAACATATACTATGACTTATATCCTGTTATTCAATTGCGAAAAGACCTAATGCAGAAATTGTGCGAATTTACCTGCAGTGCATTACTAAATCGAGCAACTGACAGTTGCGCATATACATCGATTCCTGCTCGTTTACAGCAACATATAGGTTTGAACTGCTTGAAGTTGTACAGCATCATATCTTAAATATAGAAATTGTTGCAAATTGTAATCTTCATTTAAATTTTTATAATGTTTTCAACTTAATAAAATTTCTTAACTCATACGCATCCATAGATTTCAATTTGTTTATGTCTGCTTCTATATTTTGTCTTCTGCACAGCTGTTTATCGTTAATCATTCACAAGAGTATATATTATAAATGTGTAGATGTATGTAAATGTCCACAATGTATTGAGCTCGAGTCCGCGGGTTCGCTAAGTTCAAATGAATGTATGAATCAGTCATTCCTGGTGAATAACATCCGAATTGTCACAGTTTATCGTTTAACTTACGGAATGACGGGATGAAAATCGTACGCTCAATGATGCGCCGATTATCTTTGCGAGAAACCAGGCGCTTTCTAAGCGCGACCCGAGCAGCGCTCTTCCTGTTTCAGTGATTAATGACGACGCGAGAAATCCTCCCTCGTCGGACCACCGGGTTTGCGCGCGAGCTCATCTGTCGAAGGCGATATTAATGGATTCGTCCTAGTGAAACGTAGCTTCGTATCTTGCATCCAATTAGCGACGCGGTCTGTCGTGCAGAGTGCGGAGAGAGCGCGCGCGCGCGCGGAAGGCTTGACAAATTCTCGCGAAATAACGGCGCATGTTCGCGGATTAACGGCGCGCGTGTCTATATCGTCGCCTCTGGCGGCATTTGAAGCGTAGTTAAGCTGATATTTTGCGGTGATAACCGTTATCGTTTGTCTTCGCTTCGGACGTATATCGTCGAGCAGAATGGATTCGTCATTCTCGCTCATTCTTATGAGAACATGCTTAGCAATGTGCAAAATAAATATAAAGAAGATAAATCGAATTTATTATTAAGAACTATTTTAAAAAATGTATATAAGGTATATATATTGAGAATTTTGTATTTAAAGAAATTATTTCAATAAAAATATTTCAATAAATTTAAGAACTAAAAATAGTTTTATCTTTGTACTTATAGTTTATAGAAACTCTGTTGAATTCTTAAGATTCACGGTTGTGGGACTGCAAGTAGCGTTTTCTGCGGCCGCAATCTTTCCTTTCTGCCGATAGCTCTACACGCGCATACACATGCGTAAATTGTAGGCGGCTTAGAAGAGCTGATAAGACTGATACACCGCATAACGCGTCCATAAACGGCGTATAAAAGTATGAATGGAACATTCTTCTTGTACTGATAATGTCGGGAGGAAAACGTTTCTGTATAGGCTCGTCCAAAATACACAGTTTAAAAGTATCATTTTATACATTTTACTTCTTTTCCTCTTTCGCTTATTGTTTTAACAATATTAATTTGAACTCTTCTTATGCGTAACTTCATTTTTTGCATTAATAAATATTTCTTATATAAATAAAATAAAATCTATTATACTCATGTATATAATTTTTTAGTCGTACTGTACATTTTAAATTAATAAAATTTGTACGATCGTAAGGACATAAAACTGAGCATCCGTAAAATTTGTTTGCGATAAAAGCCCGCGGACCGAGAAAGTGACAGCGAAGGAGCATCGACAGAGCGACTTCGCCATATGACGACGAAGTCAAGCGAGTCAACGGCCCTAAACGTCAAGCGGAAAGGGCGGAAACGGCGGGCCGTGCATAAATAAGCGCCTGGAAACCACAATGCGTTTGCGGAGACGTCGCGTGTGGGCAGCAGCGGCCGCGGTGCCGTATACCGGCCACTCGACCTGAAAATCAATGTGAAACAATTTGGCTGACGACCTCTCACGTGACACGCCGTAAATCTCCGGAACGTCGATGATCTTCGCAGGTATTTGATTTCCGACGCGCCGCGATAGAATGTAACGAGTTGTACCGACGAGAGCGGGACTTGTCGATGCAAATTGGGATCCTAAATCTTAGGAGAACGCACATAACATGTAATAACATGCGATATACAACGAATCATATGTAGAAACTGAATAATATCGTAATAATCATTCTTGACAGGCCTAATGTCAATGGCAATCACACAAGATAAGTTATAAAAGGAAATATACGTGCTATTTCTTTTCAAGATACTCCTAAAATATCAATTATTTATTCATTACTCGTTTAACTTAAGATTTAATTTTATATTAACTACATAATTCCGTAAGTTTTACTTTCGCTGTATATGAATTTATTTTGCAGAAGCACAACGATTCTTGTTGCAATTATTATAATAACCATAACAATTGTAATCGTAAAATAGATTTGTTACCGTAATCTCTCATATGTGCTTTCGCGTAAATACAACAATATTAGAAGACACTTAGGTTGAACGTGGTTAATCATATATCTCTGTACTTTCGTGATTAACAATAATTACGCCCGCGAGTGCCGTTTAAGGACACCGCGAACTTTCGACTTTCCCTTCGCTCCATCTGCCAATTACAATCGCCGCGTTTGGATGAGTCTTAACGTCTCTAGAGCGTTTCACGAGTCGTTGTCCACCGTTCATTAAGCCGGTTTCACGATTTACGATTCTGCCGAGCAAAATGCGAATAATCGAGAAGGAGACGGAAAAGCCGGGGGAAATATTGTGGCGCCTTAAGAGAAAACGAGAGGAGGACGAGCTAAAAGGAGCGGAATCACTCGTAATGGTCGTATCTCGTGCTGGCAGTATTCGTAGCGAGCATTATGGTTTCATAAAATATCACGACGCGTACCTACATGAAAGTCCCGTCGAGTTTATGCGGCGCCCGACTTATCTCCCCGTAAAACGGAGATTAATCTTTCGCCACTTATATTTTAATCCACGACGGATTCCACTCTGGCTTCTTGTTGGTTCGTGTTTTATCGTTTCATGAATGAGAAGCGACGATAAGCATCCAGATATACTATCGAGTTATCGGATATCGATCTACGAGAAGCTATTTTAAAAATCGTAATCTTAAGTACACATTCTTTCTTGATTGCGCGCTCTTTGACGATTTTCAATTAAGTTTTTTCTAATCTTTAAATTTCAGAAAATAACATACGGTATATTGCGTATTTGTCCTACATTTATTTATATTCTTCAAAATTAAAGCCATAAACTTTAAAAAAGAAAATTATTGCGTTTAATTAAAATCCATGTTTACTTAATATCTTATCACCACAGTATAAACGTAGAAAAAAATTATATCGATATTGATTCATTTACACATGACTTACGCTTGCCCAAAGCAAAAAAATTTTATTCAATGCATTTAAAGCCTCGACGGAGTCCGATGTTTATCCTTTCATCTTCCTCGGAAAAAAATAACACCCTCGGTCAGTGGCTCCAATTTCATCTTGACGTGAATATCAGAGTACACCGAAAAAGAAGTGGATACGTTTTAAGAAAACACTTAACTTACGGTCTGCTCCGGTTCAGGTTTTGAGGCGCCCTGAGGTCGAACGATAACCATTCGAACAGATATGGTTGAGTAAACCTCTTCAAACGGCCTCCTATAAGTTGCTAGAATGTATTCGATCTATTCATGCGCATTTTTTTTTTATCTTTTATTGTTGACGCGGGAATGCTCGCACACAAAAAACAAGTATTTTACCTGCTTTTCTGGCATGAAGAGATTCGTTTCTCTT